ATAAACTACTACAGTAGAGTGGGGTTCTGGGACAAAAATCACTTTCCATAATTTAGAATAAAATGTCCTTGATTGGAGTGTCTCAAACTGGTCTGGTCTTAAAAAGACTTTAATCTTTTATTTTTGTCACTTGTATTTTCCAAAAATGATCACTGCAACAACCATTACAACACCAGGATTGCAATGCAACAACCATGACACCACTATGACTGCACTAACACTGTAACTACAGTGCACTGATCACAAAACCCTGAGCCTGCACTGCATTAACAATCCCACCAGCACTAGGACTGCACTGCATTAACCATCTCACTGCCACTAGGACTGCACTGCATTAACCATCTCACTGCCACTAGGACTGCACTGCACTAACCATCTCACTGCCACTAGGACTGCACTGCATTAACCATCTCACTGCCACTAGGACTGCACTGCACTAACCATCTCACTGCCACTAGGACTGCACTGCATTAACCATCTCACTGCCACTAGGACTGCACTGCATTAAGCACTAGGACTGCACTGCATTAACCATCCCACTGCCACTAGGACTGCACTGCATTAACCATCTCACTGCCACTAGGACTGCACTGCACTAACCATCTCACTGCCACTAGGACTGCACTGCATTAACCATCTCACTGCCACTAGGACTGCACTGCATTAAGCACTAGGACTGCACTGCATTAACCATCCCACTGCCACTAGGACTGCACTGCATTAACCATCTCACTGCCACTAGGGCTGCATTAACCATCTCACTGCCACTAGGTCTGCACTGCATTAACCATCCCACTGCCACTAGGACTGCACTGCATTAACCATCTCACTACCACTAGGACTGCACTGCATTAACAATCCCACCACCACAAGAACTGCACTGCAATAACCTTCCCACTGCTAGGACTGCACTGCATTAACCATCTCACTACCACTAGGACTGCACTGCATTAACAATCCCTCCACCACAAGGACTGCACTGCAATAACCTTCCCACTGCTAGGACTGCACTGCATTAACAATCCCAACACCACAAGGACTGCACTGCATTAACCATCCCACTGCACTGCATTAACCATCCCACTACCACTAGGACTGCACTGCATTAACCATCTCACTACAACTAGGACTGCACTGCATTAACCATCTCACTACTACTAGGACTGCACTGCATTAACCATCCCACTGCTAGGACTGCACTGCATTAACCATCCCACTGCTAGGACTGCACTGCATTAACCATCTCACCACCACTAGGACTGCACTGCATTAACCATCCCACTGCCACTAGGACTGCACTGCATTAACCATCTCACTACAACTAGGACTGCACTGCATTAAGCACTAGGACTGCACTGCATTAACCATCCCACTGCCACTAGGACTGCACTGCATTAACCATCTCACTGCCACTAGGGCTGCATTAACCATCTCACTGCCACTAGGTCTGCACTGCATTAACCATCCCACTGCCACTAGGACTGCACTGCATTAACCATCTCACTACCACTAGGACTGCACTGCATTAACAATCCCTCCACCACAAGAACTGCACTGCAATAACCTTCCCACTGCTAGGACTGCACTGCATTAACCATCTCACTACCACTAGGACTGCACTGCATTAACAATCCCTCCACCACAAGGACTGCACTGCAATAACCTTCCCACTGCTAGGACTGCACTGCATTAACAATCCCAACACCACAAGGACTGCACTGCATTAACCATCCCACTGCTACGACTTCACTGCATTAACCATCTCACTGCTAGGACTGCACTGCATTAACCATCCCACTACCACTAGGACTGCACTGCATTAACCATCTCACTACAACTAGGACTGCACTGCATTAACCATCTCACTACTACTAGGACTGCACTGCATTAACCATCCCACTGCTAGGACTGCACTGCATTAACCATCTCACCACCACTAGGACTGCACTGCATTAACCATCTCACTACAACTAGGACTGCACTGCATTAACCATCTCACTACTACTAGGACTGCACTGCATTAACATCTCACTGCCACAAGGACTGCACTGCATTAACCATCCCACTACCACTAGGACTGCACTGCATTAACCATCTCACTACAACTAGGACTGCACTGCATTAACCATCTCACTACTACTAGGACTGCACTGCATTAACCATCTCACTGCCACTAGGACTGCACTGCATTAACCATCTAACTGCCACTAGGGCTGCATTAACCATCTCACTGCCACTAGGACTGCACTGCATTAAGCACTAGGACTGCACTGCATTAACCATCCCACTGCCACTAGGACTGCACTGCATTAACCATCTCACTACCACTAGGACTGCACTGCATTAACCATCTCACTTCCACTAGGACTGCACTGCATTAACCATCCCACTGCCACTAGGACTGCACTGCATTAACCATCTCACTACCACTAGGACTGCACTGCATTAACAATCCCTCCACCACAAGAACTGCGCCGCAATAACCTTCCCACTGCTAGGACTGCACTGCATTAACCATCTCACTACCACTAGGACTGCACTGCATTAACAATCCCTCCACCACAAGGACTGCACTGCAATAACCTTTCCACTGCTAGGACTGCACTGCATTAACAATCCCAACACCACAAGGACTGCACTGCATTAACCATCCCACTGCTACGACTTCACTGCATTAACCATCTCACTGCTAGGACTGCACTGCATTAACCATCCCACTACCACTAGGACTGCACTGCATTAACCATCTCACTACAACTAGGACTGCACTGCATTAACCATCTCACTACTACTAGGACTGCACTGCATTAACCATCTGCACTGCATTAACAATCCCACACCACAAGGACTGCACTGCATTAACCATCCCACTGCTACACTTCACTGCATTAACCATCTCACTGCTAGGACTGCACTGCATTAACCATCCCACTGCACTGGACTGCACTGCATTAACCATCTCACTGCACTAGGACTGCACTGCATTAACCAATCCACTGCCACTAGGACTGCACTGCACTAACCATCCTCCTGCCACTAGGACTGCACTGCACTAACCATCTCACTGCCACTAGGACTGCACTGCATTAACCATCTCACTGCCACTAGGACTGCACTGCATTAACCATCTCACTACAACTAGGACTGCACTGCATTAACCATCCCACTGCCACTAGGACTGCACTGCATTAACCATCTCACTACCACTAGGACTGCACTGCATTAACCATCTCACTACAACTAGGACTGCACTGCATTAACCATCCCACTGCTACTCAGGTGCGTGCACTGCATTAACCATCTCACTGCCACTAGACTGCACTGCATTAACCATCTCACTGCCACTAGACTGCACTGCATTAACCATCTCACTACAACCAGGACCGCACCGCACAACTATCCCACTTGCCACTAGGACTGCACTGCATTTAACCATCTCACCGCCACCAGGACCGCACCGCACAACCATCCTACTCACAAATCTCAGGGACTGCACTGCACAACCATCCCACGTCAGCTTAGACTGCACTGCATTAACCATCCACCAATACTAGGACTGCAACTGCACAACCATCCACTCACAACTAGACCGCACTGCATTAACCATCCCACTGCCACTAGGTGTGCACTGCATTAACCATCTCACTGCCACTAGGACTGCACTGCATTAACCATCTCACTGCCACTAGGACTGCACTGCATTAACCATCTCACTACAACTAGGACTGCACTGCATTAACCATCCCACTGCCACTAGGACTGCACTGCATTAACCATCTCACTACCACTAGGACTGCACTGCATTAACCATCTCACTTCCACTAGGACTGCACTGCATTAACCATCCCACTGCCACTAGGACTGCACTGCATTAACCATCTCACTACTACTAGGACTGCACTGCATTAACCATCTCACTACAACTAGGACTGCACTGCATTAACCATCCCACTGCCACTAGGACTGCACTGCATTAACCATCTCACTACCACTAGGACTGCACTGCCTTAACCATCTCACTACAACTAGGACTGCACTGCATTAACCATCCCACTGCCACTAGGACTGCACTGCATTAACCATCCCACTGCCACTAGGACTGCACTGCATTAACCATCTCACTTCAACTAGGACTGCACTGCATTAACCATCCCACTGCCACTAGGACTGCACTGCATTAACCATCTCACTACTACTAGGACTGCACTGCATTAACCATCTCACTACAACTAGGACTGCACTGCATTAACCATCCCACTGCCACTAGGACTGCACTGCATTAACCATCTCACTACAACTAGGACTTCACTGCATTAACCATCTCACTACAACTAGGACTGCACTGCATTAACCATCTCACTGCCACTAGGACTGCACTGCATTAACCATTCCACTGCCACTAGGACTGCACTGCATTAACCATCCCACTGCCACTAGGTGTGCACTGCATTAAGCACTAGGTGTGCACTGCATTAACCATCCCACTGCCACTAGGTGTGCACTGCATTAAGCACTAGGTGTGCACTGCATTAACCATCCCACTGCCACTAGGTGTGCACTGCATTAACCATCCCACTGCCACTAGGTGTGCACTGCATTAAGCACTAGGTGTGCACTGCATTAACCATCCCACTGCCACTAGGTGTGCACTGCATTAAGCACTAGGTGTGCACTGCATTAAGCACTAGGTGTGCACTGCAGTGCCTCCATGTCCAGACAGCTCACACAGCAGTGAGTCAGAGTGTCACATGGTCAGAGAGCTCAGCCTAACCCAGCACAACAAGCAGCCTCATTATTCCGCAGTGTACATGTCATCCCATTATAAATCCCCACACAGTCACCCAGTGTCTGTAGAGTCTGTTCTCAGGAGATTGTACGTTCAATAAAGCTTGATTGACAAAAAAAAGCCACAAGGAGGGTAGGGTGTACCAAAATGGCGTCCTCCCCACTTCCGGTGGCTTCGCCCTCCGTTGGTACATGTACTTGTGTGGAGTCGGAAGATGGCTGACTTCCGGGGGATGCTCCCGGCGCGCTCCCGCCGCCCTTTCTCCTCTGCTCGTGCTTGCGCCCGCGCGCCCGCCGGAAGGAAGGAGCCGCCATTACAGGAGGAGACACCCGAGTCACCCGGATACACCCGGAAACCGCGAGCGGGGACTCCGTAAGATCCGAGTCACCCGGATGTAGCATGGTGTCACGGGCCGGGCCCCATCCACAGCACAGCACCGCGGGCACACCCGGAAACCGAGACCGGGCCCCACGGAGCCCCTGATCACCCGGAAACCGAGACCGGGCCCCACGGAGCCCCTGATCACCCGGAAACCGAGACCGGGTCCGACCTGCCCCCCGGGGGCCGCACCGAGCCTGGGAGGAGAGAGAGAGAGCGAGAGAGGACTCGGGGTGAGCGGCCTCCCTTATAAAGAGAGACACGGTGTGTGTATAGGGGCTGCCAGCCAGCTGTCTGTATGGGAGTCACATTGTGATCAGACATACCTACTACATGTATGTATGTACACCCCGTGACAACATACTACATGCATGTACACCCCGTGACATCATACTACATGTATGTATGTACACCCCGTGACAACATACTACATGCATGTACACCCCGTGACATCATACTACATGTATGTATGTACACCCCGTGACAACATACTACATGCATGTACACCCCGTGACATCATACTACATGTATGCATGTACACCCTGTGACATCATACCGCATGCATGTACACCCCGTGACATCATACCGCATGCATGTACACCCCGTGACAACATACCGCATGCATGTACACCCCGTGACCTCATACTACATGCATGTACACCCGTGACCTCATACTACATGCATGTACACCCGTGACCTCATACTACATGCATGTACACCCGTGACCTCATACCGCATGCATGTACACCCCGTGACATCATACCGCATGCATGTACACCCCGTGACAACATACCGCATGCATGTACACCCCGTGACAACATACCGCATGCATGTACACCCCGTGACAACATACCGCATGCATGTACACCCCGTGACAACATACCGCATGCATGTACACCCTGTGACATCATACTGCATGCATGTACACCCTGTGACAACATACCACATGTCAGACATACAGTGGGTACACTCAGCAGAGCGCATACTGTCACACATCTACACACAGACATTCACAGGGCACATGCCATCACCCTGTCTACATATTACATATGTCTACATACAAAGGGAGCATTGAGCACAGAGCACACTATTATCACACACGTACACACAGACGCTCACAGGGCACATGCCATCATCACCCTGTCTACATACATTGTTTACACATAACATATAATGTATATGCACAAAAAAGAAAAGGCATTAATTTTAGTGGGCAAATGAAATGGTGTCATGCAATTTCTACTTCACACACACACACATACTTATCCACACTTTCGTACATGCACATACACATTTTGTTCATGCTGTGTCAAGCCACCTAGGTATGCAGACTTTTACCTTACATACTATATGTCATCATGCTATTATCATGAAAAAATTACAGCGTGCACACATACACATTAATACAAGCAAACACATTGTCATATACAATATTTATAGGCAGGTATATACAAATCTATAGATTTGTATTTGCCTGATCTTATGTCATGTTCGTGCTGGGTGAAGTCACCTAAGAGATTTAATTTTTACTTGTACAATATTACAGGAACAAACCATTTCACTCCTCTCGCATTACTTTTTGTATCCACATAATGAAATTCTTCTATTGTTATTTTTATTTTAGTTTGACTTGACTCTGTACTATTTGTCCTTACTAATGTAGAACGAAAACAATTGCTTATAAATAATTCATATTCTCACATGCTTATGCAGAGTAGGGCAGAGTGAGTAATGAGCTGTACAAGATTTTTGTATTTGCAGATCAGTTCTGATTTAGTGGTCAGTTTACAGTTTATACATTTCCAACATATTCTGTAGGACTATACAGTGGGCAGACATGTAAACATACTGACTCATGGTGGTCCGGCGGGTATAATCATTTAATGGATTGCGGTTTTATGAACTCATGATTCTGTGGGCGGTCAAACTTGAATGACTAACTTAGACGTTCACTTAAACTAAAGAGTAGACATACATTAAAGAGAACCGATAGGCACAAAAACAACTTTCGCTTAATGGAACTGTTTTGGTGTATAGATCATACTCCTGCATTGTTACTGCTAAATTCTTTGCCATTTAGGAGTTAAACCATTTGTTTCTGTTTATAGCCACACCTGCACTTGCCTTGCCTGACACAGGCTGCAAGAAAAAAATGCTTTAATTTTTAATCCGATCTTAAATTTACTTTAGAAGTTTTTATTTCCTGCCCTGTGAATTGAACTTTAATCACACACAGGAGCCTCTTGAAGTCTTTAGAAGGCTATCAACAAAGCAGGATATAAGAAATTCTAAATTAAACACACTCTGCAATAAAGGAAGTTTAAAAATTAGATCGATCTTTACAGGAAGTGTTGCACAAGGCTCTGTTGGTCTTGTGCAGGGATGTGTGTCTGGAACTCCATTAGCAAAGTGATTTAACTTCCAAATGGCAAATAATTGAGCAGTAAGAATGCAGGGGAATGATCTGTATACTAAAACAGCTTCAATAAGCAAAAGGGTTATGTTTTCTTTTGGTGCCTGTAGTATCCTTTTGAGGTTCAATCAATTTGCAAAAATTAAGCTAATGTAGCTATGTAGGGAAGAAACTTAAAAACATATTTTTCCTTTTGGGTCCCCTCCATAATATTGCAGTTCTGGTTGGTTCACTATAATTAACTATTTATTTAGTGAATTAACCCACACATTAACAGAATTTCCCTAATCATCAAAACCCATTTCTCCTGATCATCATGCAGATTTTGTGGGACTTGTAGATTAACTTCGATAACATGAAGACTTTAGAATGCAGATTCTATTGAAAAACTTAGGGGTCTGCTCACTAAAGAGGGAATTGTGAGATATTGCAGATTTTAGGACAGATAAGTTGAGCTGGATATTTTTGCTTGTTTTGACCTAAATTTTTCAATACCTTTTTCAGTGACCCGCAATCCCCAGTTACTGGATTAACCCTATACTGTAACACGTATGATCTGGTTGACTTATTGACCTATATGAAATTAATTTCTTAAACACATTAGAAAGTTAGAATTGACCTGTCGGCCATAGGCAAACTGCTATAGATGCAAAGCAGAGAATTTTGCTGAGCAATATTTAAAGGCATGGCTGATAGATAGAGATGAGCTGGTCATTATAATCCATAGATGGATTTTGAACCAGCAAACAAACTAATGGTCTGTCAGTATGTACGCTGGTTGGTGTATGTCTATATCCCAAGGTTTGCTCTGTTTGCATTTCTTTAAAGAGTATGTGCTCTGCTCAGTGCAGCTTCAAAGTTTCTGAAAGACAATAATTATGGATATATCCACTAAATGCGTATAAACTACCTGTTTACCAATAATTATTGAACATAAGCATTTTTAATTTTAGTGATTTTTTTTTTTTTTTTTTTTTAGATTTGATAGCCAAGGGCTGGTGCAGGACGTGTGTATGTATATATTTATTTTCACACACTTAAGGTTGGCAAGGCACTGTGGGATTTTTAGTTTTGTAGGAGCTAGGAATATTTGTGCATTCATGATTTTTAGGTTTACAAATTGAAATATGTTTTATGAAATATAGGCATGGGTACTGGCAGGAATATTATCTAAAGTGTGAATTGTTGGGATTTCAAATTCAAAGTGTACTTAAAATTTTAAGCCAAAATAACTGAATCTTAAAAAAAAATTCCCAAATGTTTTCAATTTTGGCCCAAAAATTTAAATTCACTTTAAATTGTGATAATCAAGCATTGGTGAATAACCTTAATAGTGATTCGAAAGAATACCCTTGGGGTTATTCACTCAGGCCTTAAAGGGACACTATAGTCACCAGAACCACTACAGCTTAATGTAGTGGGTTTTGGTGTCAATATCCTGTCCCTGCAGGCTCAGCACTATAAACATTGCCTTTTCAGAAAAAAGGCAGTGTTTACATTGCTGCCTAATAACACCTCTAGTGGCAGTCACTCAGATGGTCACTAGAGGTGCTTCCTATTTCAGTGCTGCAGTATGTGCAGCACATTGTTCACCGTCTCCACGTACTGCATGCGGAGATGCTGACTGGCGCAACATGGCATTTTCCTGCGCATGTGCAATAGCCTCCCATTGCTTTCTTTGAGATTGATAATCTCAGCCATGGAGGCGAGATCAGCACGATGATGGAGAAAAGGTAAGTAATGCTACTGTTTTACTCCTTTCTGAGGGGGGTGGACACCTAAATAGGTAGTCCAGCATTAGTGTTCCTTTATGATTTCCACTCATCACTAGCCATTGGCAAGTGGAAATTTAGGATTGGCTTGTAAAATTCACATCTGGTGGGTGTGTCGTGTACTCTCCAGACTTGTAGAGACAAGGCTATGCTAGTTGCATAGGACTTGAAATTTGAAGCTTTTATTCACCAAACTCTGATATTTGCAAATTAAATCAGCTTGGTATAAATATCACAGTTAAAGGTTTTGTAACACCATACAGCATCCTGTCCCTAGTTTTTTACAGGTGTCCCCATCTCTGTGCCATATAGATTAATTATAGAAAAAACACCAAATAAACGTTTTACGTACACTTTTCCAGCACCAAGGCTCCCTTAGCATTTCTTATCTCTCTGCTACTCATAAAAGGATATTGGCGTCTGATATGCAAGCATGGCATGCATTCAACACTTTTCCATGCGCTTCTGTGTCACATGACCCAGTTTTACTCTCAGTGCCACGAAAGTGCCTCTAGTGGCTGTGAGGAAGATCGTCACTAGAGGTAGAGTTGGCATTTTATAAATAATAACTTCACCCTGCATAGTAAGCACTGCAGTTTCTAAAAAAACAAAAACCTGCAATGTTTTACAATGCAGGGTTAAAAAGGCACCACTTCATTGAGAAGTAGTGGTCTGGGTGACTATAATGTACCTTCAAGTTTAAATAATTGGTGATTGAAGGGTTTTGTGAATATTTTGGGCTACAGCATAGTAATGTGTTTTCCCTATGTAATTGTATTGGATTAAAGGTATTTTAAATGCCTGTCACGTCTTCAGAATTCTATGTTTTTGGCCATTCAGAGTATCTACCAATTAGAAGAATGAGATTCTCAAAGCCTAAACTGAAAAACTTCACATAATTTGGAGTTTATTCATTAAATGGCAAATACATTTTAGACCCCTATAGCTAAGCTGTAAAGGTGACTTACTCAGAAAATGTTTTCTGGTCTGCTATTCTCCCCACAAATCAGAGATTCTCCTCGGTTCCCTGAATAGTTGGTACTGGAACTGTAGCACAGGATAATTGCTCTGTGGTGGGACACACATACTGCCTTACAGCAGATAGTTATTCTGGGGAATATAGCTCATATTAGTTACATGAGGGTTTTTCTTTTAATTTTACTCGGGTCACTTAAAAGGGATTCTTTCATTCAAAGTTCCTAATTAAAGTTATTTAATTCTCCCATGCTTTGCTAGTTGTAGGAGCTCATATACCAAGCTGTTCCAGAATGTACTCTCTATGGGTTTGTTTGCAGTGGCTGCTGGAATTGGCATGAGTGCATTGTGACCACCTATGTGGCTACTCCCTTGAAAATGACAATCGTAGTAATTCATCTGCATTTGCAAGCACGTTGCCTACCATAACTAAACTAGGAATCAAAAATTTTAGTCAATGTGGAAACATTCCCCCAAGCCAGCTATTTTTCCAGTTATGCTATTTTGGCGTATAATGTCCTTGTCAATGCCTCACAATTTTCTCGCTTAGTGGATAAAGTCAGTGTATTGATTGGAAAAACAAATAATTTATATTGGGCTCTCTTATTCACTGATGACGCAATCTCTTTTTATTACTGCTAATATTGTATAGTCACTTCTGTGTTGGTGTCATGTTATACTAATGAAAGGCTATCATTGCATTATTCGATAGAACATTAAAGACAGGGCTGACTTTCTGTTTTCTAGAATGTAGGATATATATACATACATACATAATGGACTTTTTCAATATTTAATTTTTAACTGGTAATCATACTCTGATAAATGTTACCCCACTTTTGGGGCACCCCCTCTCTGACGCAATTTTTTAGTTGATGAAAAGCAGCACTCCTCAATGTGATCTGATAATTGATAAATCGGTAATTACCGTTAATTCCCTATTTGAACTTCTTTCTCGGCCAAGGATGGTACATGAGGGCAAGTCCCAGAGAGCACTGGATTCTGGGTTAATGAGCTGTGCACGTGGGACCATGCACATATGTGGACAGCCCATTTTTATCACAGTTGCTGTGACAACATTATGTATAAATCAGATTTAATTTCATTGAGTAATTTCTAGGTTTTGTCTGTTTCATATAGCTAGTGATTTAGTTCATTTGGTAATGCATTAACTGTGAAACCTGATTATAACTACGCACTGCAGGAGGTTTTATTCCTGACTTGCTTTCAGCCTTCATTCGCATGTTGTTGTTGTTGTTGTTGCCATTTATGTAGCGCTTTACAATATTATGAAAGGGGATTTAACTAGAAATAGGACAATTACAAGAAAACTTACAGGAATAATAGGTTGAAGAGGACCCTGCTCAAACGAGCTTACAGTCTATAGTTGATATCAAAGACACTGTTACATAGTTACATAGCTGAAAAGAGACTTGCATCCATCAAGTTCAGCCTTCCTCACATTTGTTGCTGTTGATCCAAAAGAAGACAAAAAACCCAGTCTGAAGTGCTTCCAATTGTGCAACAAACTAGGAAAAAATTCCTTCTTGACACCAAAATAGCAGTCAGATATCTCCTTGGATCAAGCAGCTATTATCCCACTATTTAGAAATTATATCCCTGTATGTTATGTTTTTGCAAGTATTTATCCAATTGCTGTTTAAACATCTGTATGGACTCTGATAAAACCACCTCTTCAGGCAGATAATTCCATATCCTTATTGCTCTTACTGTAAAGAAACTGAGTTTCTTTGAGTGGGGTATAATGTCTCTAATCCTGGAGGATCCCCAAATCCAGTAAACTGTTTTATTCACTAAACGTTAAATTGTAGCAAGTTGAAGTACAAATGGTAAAAGTTAGGCAAACATAGCTGATTCGGAGAAATCCAACTTGACTGTATTAACAGCATGACTATATTAGCTTTACATTTGCAGTATAGTGAAATTACCCTGCCAATGTACTGTCTTGTAAAGCACTCGACTTTAGCTAATATGTAGATTAGCAATTCTGGAAAAATTAGCTATTAAAACTGAACTATTTTTCCATCTCATCTGCAGATCAAGTTTAGTATATTAAACCCATTGATTGCCATACATACCAGCTACTGTTCTCTATTTTTCTCTACATGCCTTGAATATTTATATATGCAATTTTATTAAAGCGAATTCATGTATTTTTCGTTTCCCAGGCACCCATGCATTAACTCTCCAATGTGTTATTTTAATTACTTACATTTCTTTATTAAAGTAATAAATTACTGAGCCATTTCCAATAGCTGAACTTGATATAGGCCAAGTCTGCCTTGAAATGTTACTGCTTTCTGTAGAAAGCTGACCTCTTGACTATGTGCCCCATATGCCATTTGCAGTCAGGGTTTTATTGGGGCTGTCCACTCTTGGTAAAAAGCACTGACTCTAAAACAAAGTCTGATTAATCTAATTTGGCCATTTAAAAAAATGTGTCTATATTATATATTAAAGTGTTAACAGATATCTTTTTCCAGTCTCAGACTTTGAACATGCATTCTGGAATTTGCTTGCATAATACTGCGAGGCTTGGCTAGATGTTACTGGACAGTGTCTTTTGGTGTATAGTGGAGCCTTAGAACCCCTTATTGTTATGCAGCAGCACCGATTCTAGGATTCCCTGGGGTTTGTAAACTGATCACTCATAAGCTGCATTAACCGTGTTTGTTCTGAGTGTGACATACACAGCACATTTTATAGGTTTTTCAAAGACTGTTATAAAAAAAAAAGTGGATCGAGTACAGCTGGCAAATCATGAAAGAGCACCTTGTCTCACATCTTTTCACCTGTGGCACCTAGTCATAGGGCAGCATGTTGGACGTCTTGATCTTTCACTCATCCATCTTGTCATTTGTACACTCTCCATATTAGAATAAAGTTGTTTTGGTTTTCAGTGCGCTTACATATTTAAAAAAACAAAACAAAAAAAACCCACCACATTTCCTGGAGTATTGGTGTTCCTCGACCTGGTGTGAAAAGCACAGAAATCATAGGATCTTGGTAGTAACTAGGAGTAAATATTTGTTGACTAGAAATCTATTTTATTTTTGTGTGTGTGTTAAAGGCACACTCCAGGTAATATAACCACCACACTGCATTGCAGGATTTGGGTACAGTCCCATTTTAATTTTCAAACCTGTGAATTCCTGGAGCCCTGAGCTCATCCCCTCTGCTGGAGACATCTTAATGAGAATGTTCACTGCAAGGAGAGGTCATAAAGACCGGAGTATAGAAACATTCATGTCGAATTGCTGTTAAACCTTGTCTGAATGGACACTGAAAGGGTTAACAGCTGTAAAAAGCTGCAAATATTCAGTGAACTGAATCTACAATATGTGGTCACACTGTATCAATATTTTGGATGGATAATAAGGAAGGAAACTTCTTTATTATGACCTCTCCTATTGACTGGGTAAGCTTAGGGTACATCTCCCATTGCCTCCTATTAGCCTAACTGCTGATAAGCTGCAGTGGTTATGGTGGTTGGAATGTCCCTTTAAATATGTCTCAGTATGTTAAGGCTCTTAATATGGAGATTGCTGAGTCATTTAAGGAACAGAGCAGTAGTTGGGTTGCATTAGATCACCAGCCCATTCCCCCATCCGATTCAGGGCCATCTTTAAGGCGGGGCAAACTGGGCCGCTGCCCCAGGCCCCGTTTCTCCTGGGGGGCCCAAGGCCGCTGCCCTCATCAATTTATTTTTTTTAATTTTAATTTTTTTTCGTCCTCTGAGTCCACCCAGTGGGCTTGTATCAGCCGGGTCCCGGTCGGGCACTGTCGCCCTTTCACATCGCGACCGGGCCCCTTGCTTTCCGGCAGCCGGCTGGGAGGCAGTGACAGCCGCGAGTCACTTCCTCTCACAGAGAGGAGCTGCACGGAAACTGTCAGGAAGAGTCGCGAAGGGGGGGAGAATGAGCCTGCAGTGAGTATGGAGGCTCCTCACTCCCATCAGCTTCTGGCACCACACTGGACCCCAGGGAAGCCACCCTCCAGCAAAAGGTGGGAAGCTGGAGGGTGGGTTTAAAAATGTACATTTTGTATGTGTCCGTATATCTCTGTGTGTCAGTATGTCTGTGTGTGTGTGTATCTGAGCACAAACTTTAAATACAAATACACCCCTCCATTCAAACTTTAACACTACATACAAACACTCCTCTGTGTTAAACACCAGAATTATATATAAACACACGCCTACGTTAAAAAACAAACACTACACATAAATGTACACTTTTAAACTCCAATACCACATACAAACACATTCACACAAACATGCTTACATTCATCATGTTTGATTTAATTGTTCTTGGCTCTGCAGGTGCATTTTACAAGCCCTTTCTGGACTGTGCAGAGAAAGGAAATGACTGATTTGAATAAAAAGCCTCTGAGTGCCAGGCCATCCCCACCCCCAAATCTGAAGCATATTTAGACCACAACAGGTCCTTTCAGGATTGCTGACTGCAGGCATCTTACTAGTTTCCTAGTTTTGCCTGACTGCTAATACTGTATAAATTAACCTATTATTATTTGCAAATGAATAATACTATGTTCTGTTCTATTGAAGGCATTGTTTAAACAGCTTAATGATATCCCAGAATGTAACCCTCTAGTCTAGTGAGTTCTGCTAGAAAAGAGAGATGGCTGCTTACTGGGAATCATCTTGGAAATCTTGTAGCATTTATATATATCTATCTATCTATATCTCTATCGAGAAATTTCAGCCGTGCACATTGAATAGGGTGAGGTCATACATCTCATTTCTGCACTGATTAATGGAAGCCCAGCCATTGATGTCTGACTTTACGCTGGCACTCACAGCATCCTTTCAATCCATCCCTTTTGCATTCTGGGTGATGTCTAATGTCAGAGACTTGCTCAGCACTAAGACTGCATACTGCCTCATTAAATGATGGTGAGATAACATCTGCTTAGAGATTGAGTAGAATGTATGCTCCTGGTAATATAAGGGTTAATGGATTAGCTTCATAAATATAAATATCAATAAACAGGTGTTTTACATTGATATTTTATTCAGTACAGTTTGCTGGGAATTGTTGGATTACGTGCTATGCATTATGGGAGTGTACAGATATAGCCTGCAGCTCAAAGCCAAACAATACAATTCTGTGGCATATACAAGATTTAATCTGCATGTTTGCTGGACTGGGTGCCTCAGTAGCCTCATATAAGGATTTTTCTTTTATTTACCAAAAGCAGACCTTCCAAATGTTTTATGGATGACTTAAGAAGCAATATGGCACCTCCCAGTTTGATCATTATAGGTTTTTTTTTATTTGTAGCTCAGTGAGAATCATAATGAATAATAAAAGAAATGCTTGCTTCTGTTAGTACATCATAGTAAAAGGGACACAATAGGCGTCAAAACAACTTTAGCTTAATGGAGTGGTTTTGGTGTACAGATCATTCCCCTGCAGTCTCACTGCTCAGTTCTTTCATTTAGGAGTTAAACCACTTTGCTTCTGGAGCCCTAGTCACAACTCTCTGCATGTGATTTACACAGCCTTCCTAAACACTTCATCTGAAGAGAGATCTGATGTTTAAACTTCCTGTATAGTAAATTCTGTTCAATATAGAATGTCTTATCTCCTGCTCTGTTAATAGCCTTCTAGACGCTAAATGAGCCTCCTGTATGTGATTTAAAGTTCCTTTTCTGGAGCATGAGATAATAACTTGTAAAGCGAGTTAACATCTGATTGAAAATGAAACCATTTTGTTGTCATGCAGGCTGTGTCAGTCACAGCCGGGGAAGCTGTTGCTAGAGCTGCATGGACAGAAACAAAAGTGATTTAACTCATAAATGGCAGAGAATTGAGCAGTGAGACTACAGGAGCATGATCTATACACCAACACTGCTTCATTAAGCTAAAGTTGTTTTGATGCTTCTAGTGTCACTTTAACAGAAGTATTTCGAAAATTCTCCCATCCCAAGAAAAACAAACAAAATGTTTTCCTGCACTATTGGCTCCGGTTTATGGGACTTGTAGTCTCACAAACAGCAGTAGGGCTATAGGTTGCTTAAAACTGCTGTAAAAACACCCGTGGGAGGCGACAAAGAAAAGTGGCCAAGATCAGCTTCCTTCTATAGCCTGGTCTGACAAGCCCTGGATTCAAAACACAATGAGTGCACTTACATAAGAACAATACCTTATGCACATGAATGGAATACACTGAAATGTCAGGTTTCTAGGGCTGGACGTTTTGTTCCAGACGTGATGCAGTGTGTTCACATGCTTCTGCTTGCACTGCCGTGTCAGACCTGGCTTGGATCCTTTGACAGCTATTCAGTATGAGAAATCTATAACATCAGCTTTATTGATGCTGCGGATCATGTTGAGCACTTAGCACGCCAAAATATCTGTTTTGCAGATTCAACCCGTGAAGAAATTATTTTTCTGGTTTGTTAGTCACAAAGAAAACTGGATCGAATTTCATAATTTATTTTAGGTTCTAGGCTGTGTGCCTGTCATGTTCTTTTGATTTGTATATTCGATAAGGCTAGACTATAGAAGTAATTTTTAAAGGGATTCTTCCAGCACCAGTATAACATATGCTGTTTGCGTAGGTTATAGTGCAGGGGGTTCTGTGCCCATTTGCTCTTTGTGACCTTGGGATATAACTGCGTCAGTTTGCAAAAAAGTGCTGTGTCTTTAAGACCAACCCTCACTACTCACTCATTAGGTCACAAGATGCTCAACACTCCCGTTGAAGATAAATGCGTGGCTAGGATTGGCTGACAGGTTTCAGCTACTTCCTAGTCTGAACAGAGCTCATGGCAGGAAGCTGTAAATCTAAAGAATTTGCAGTGAATGCAGAAACTTCAGATATTAATATCTTTCACTATTAATGAATAGAAAAAAAAAGAGGCCAACCCCTCCTTGTAGTGTCCTTTTTAATAAATTAATCTAATCGTATCTGTCTCTGGAAGGGTCTACTAGTTGCTGTCCCTTAAAAGGGGTGAAAGTGTTGGGAATATCTCGGCAGGGCTGACCAAAAGCTGCTTCCCTGTTGTAGTAACATTACAAATTCCATGATAGTTTAGCAGCCTGACTGCTCTGTGTATCATGGGAGTTGTAGTTTGACCATAATTGGCGTTCTTATGGATTATGCTACTTCAGTTAATTACTTTACTCTTTATACAAAGCTATAACTGTGATTACAGGTCTGATCAGATTCCAGGGCTTGTTACATTTTGGATTAAATCTGTTTTTTCTTTTTTTCCAGCTATATTTTTTTTAAAATGTTAGGGATCCATTGAAATTTTTTTTTTTTTTTTTGGCAATATTGTTACCTTTGTCATGATGGTCTTAAACATGTCAGGTGTCCGTGGAATGGTTATATTTTTCAGATATTCTGTTGAATCTCTTCTGCTACCCATGATGCAAAATACACAATGCAATTTCTACTTTACCATATTCTCTAGTTTCTTTTCACTATAGCTTTTTTTTTTTACCCCATATTTCATTTGATGCTATTGCTACATTTGATAGCTGCACTGACATTAGTTTCTCCTACTTGTAAGGAGAGCCCAGAAGCACTGCACCGTTATCTGTGAATGACTTTTTTTTTTCCAGCATTGGAAAACCTAGACCTCAAAACATTTTGACGCATATAGAATCTTTGTCAAGCCTTGGTTGTTGGGAAAAAAGTAATTGGGCTTAAGGTAGTGTTTTGTAGCATTCTTTGCTGTTGAGTGATCGAGGATTTTTGAGTCCTTTTATTTCTGGTAGTTAATTCCCTTCTACACAGATAGGCCTGCATTATAACATACTTGATTTTGCTTTCTCCTCTTTTTCCTGTATCTTGTAATATCTGTCATTGTGGCTTTTTTTTCCTAATGTAGTGTCTTTTTCTTTACAGACTTCTGAATTTGGATTGTAAATATGTCTCCTGCATGTGGCTCGGGTTCTTCATCTGCTGTACAGAGGATTTGTTCCTGGTAACTCCAAGTGTCCTTCCTCCAGGAAAAGATCTTTGCGTGGGGCAGCAGAACTGGTTGCTGCTGATAACATTCCTGATCATCCTTCTGAAGCAAAGACTCTGTGCATGGGGTGGCAGTGCACAGCCTCACCTCAGCAACTGTTGATGTGGGCAGGATGAGTGCTGCGTCATGATGATGGCACGGAAACAAGATGTGCGCGTGCCCACCTATAGTGTCGGCGTGGTGGGACTGTCTGGCACAGAAAAGGAGAAAGGCCAGTGTGGCATTGGGAAGTCGTGTCTGTGTAACCGCTTTGTACGACCAAGTGCAGATGACTTCCACTTGGACCACACATCCGTCCTAAGCACTAGTGATTTTGGGGGCCGTGTCGTGAACAATGACCACTTTCTCTACTGGGGTGAAGTGGTTCGATGCCTGGAGGACTCTGTTGAATGCAAGGTCCATGTGGTGGAGCAGACAGAGTTCATTGATGATCAGACCTTCCAGCCTCATCGCAGTACAGCACTGCAGCCTTACATTAAACGAGCAGCCTCCACCAAGCTGGCCTCTGCCGAAAAACTTATGTACTTCTGCACAGATCAGTTGGGTTTGGAACAAGACTTTGAGCAAAAGCAGATGCCTGAGGGCAAGCTGCTCATAGATGGCTTCCTGTTATGTGTGGATGTTAGTCGTGGTATGAACAGGAACTTTGATGACCAGCTAAAGTTTGTGTCCAACTTATACACTCAGCTAGCCAAGACGAAAAAGCCTATTGTACTAGTACTGACCAAGTGTGATGAAGGTGTAGAACGCTATATCCGTGATGCTCATGGATTTGCACTCAACAAAAAGAACTTGCAGGTTGTAGAAACCTCCGCACGATCTAACGTCAATGTAGATTTAGCATTTACTGCCCTGGTTCAGCTGATTGACAAAAGCAGAGGCAAATCTAAGATCATTCCATACTTTGAGGCTCTGAAGCAGCAAAGCCAACAGATTGCAGCTGCAAAAGATAAATATGAGTGGCTGGTGAGTCGAGTAGTCAAGTCTCACAACGATACTTGGCTCAGTGTTAACTTGCGCATGCAAGGCTCAAATGAGTATCAGGATTATATGTACCTGGAAGGCACTGACAAGGCCAAGAAGCTTTTCCACCAGCATGTGCAAAGGCTCAAACAAGATCACATAGAACGCCGGCGTAAGGTTTATCTGTCCAGTTTGCCAGTTGCCCTTGACAGCCTTGTGCCTGACCTTGATGAAATAGACCACCTGAACTGGGCAAAGGTGGCTAAATTGCTGGAGACTAAAGCAGACTTCCATAAGTGGTTTGTGGTCTTGGATGATACACCTTGGGACCTAACAAGTCACATTGACAAGATGGAGGATAACCGCATACCTTATGACCTATTGGATTTGCAGGCAGCTGCAGATGTGTACAGTGTTCATCTAGAGAAACTCAAGACTGCCAGGAAAAAGTCAGAAATGAAGAAAGCTTTCAAGGAGAACCTGGGCACATCTCCCTTCATCACACCAGGAAAGCCTTGGGAGGAGGCTCGCAGTTTTATTATGAGTGAGGAGTTTTACCAGTGGCTGGAAGAACCAGTATACATGGATATCTACAGCAGACATCAAAAAGAGATAATTGACAAGGCCAAGGAAGAGTTTCATGAACTGTTGCTTGAGTACTCAGAGCTGTTCTATGAGTTAGGTCTTGATGCCAAGCCCAGTAAAGAGAAGATGGGGGTGATTCAGGATGTTTTAGGTGAAGAGCAGCGTTTCAAAGCGCTGCAGAAACTTCAGGCAGAGCGAGATGCCCTCATCCTCAAACATATTCACTTTGTCTATCATCCTACTAAGGATACTTGTCCTATTAACCCTTTCTGTGTAGATACAAAGATTGAGCATCTGCTAAACTCTCGGTGCACATACCCATATGACCGTGTCCACAAGGACCCAAATGTGGACAGGATCAACTTGGTAATCCTTGGCAAGGATGGGCTTGCACGGGAACTTGCCAATGAGATCCGAGCCCTGTGCACCAATGACGACAAGTATGTAATTGATGGAAAAATGTATGAACTCTCCTTGAGACCCATCGAGGGCAATGTACGGCTCCCTGTCAACTCATTTCAGACGCCCACCTTCCAGCCCCATGGCTGCCTTTGCCTATATAACTCCAAGGAGTCTCTTACTTATGTGGTGGAGAGTATTGAGAAGAGCCGAGAGTCTAGTCTAGGCCGTAGAGAAAATCACCTGCTTCATTTGCCACTTACGTTAATCCTTGTCAATAGGAGGGGAGATACAGGTGGAGAGACCGCATACAGCCTCATTCAACAAGGTCATCAGACAGCTAGCAAGCTGCAGTGCATCTTCCTTGATGCTGCTTCTACAGGATTGGGCTATGGTCGTAATGTTAATGAGAAACAGATCAGCCAGATCCTTAGGGGGCTGCTTGAATCCAAAAGAAATCTGAATCTCATAAGCACCACACCAAGCATCAAAGATTTAGCTGACTGTGACCTTCGTATTGTCATGTGCCTGATGTGTGGAGATCATTTTAATATAGAGGATGTGATAAATGCTCTAAAACCCCACACTTTTCGACCTCCTCAGTGTGGGCTTGGTGGCTCTGTACTGCTTGACCTGCCAATCGGGAGTCAGAAGCGACGCCTGGAGCTACTCATCTCATCATATCATGCATCCTTTAACATTCGCAAAACTCGACTGGTACATGGTTATATGGTCTTCTATGCAGCCAAGAGACGCGCATCCCTAGCTATGCTGCGGGCCTTTCTGTGTGAAGTACAGGACATTATCCCTATTCAGCTCGTTGCCCTGACAGAAGGTCCTGAAACACTATTGGACAATGTGGCGCGGGATCAACTGAAGGAGGCAGAGGAGATCGCTCAGGATATTGATGGAAAATTCCTGACATTACCATGTGGACAGGCACAACCCAAGTTTGACTTATTCTATCCCTATTTTAAGGATGTCATGGAGAAGAAAGTAATCATTGAGGCATCACACATGTATGATAACACAGCAGAGGCTTGTAGCACGACTGAAGAAGTGTTCAGCTCACCTCGTGCAGGTTCACCTCTTTGCAATTCCCATCTGCATGACTCTGAAGAGGACCCAGATACACCCTCTCAGCACAATCTGTTCCGGGATGAGTCAAGCATGGGAACGCACCACAGGGAACACTCAAAATTGGCCAGAGAACTGGAGGAGAGTGAGAATCTCCCCTACATCTCTGTCATGAGCACCTTAGAGAGCAAACTCAACAACAAGGTACCTCCACCCCTCAAACCAAAGCCCCCCATCCCATTTGAAATCTCCAAGGCTGATCTATCCTACCTAGAAGCAGGTGGAAGGGACGGGCACAGGAGGTCTCTGACCTCCATCACCTGGCCCCCATCTGAATCATTTGACCCTTCGGATTATGCTGAGCCCATGGACTCTGTGGTTAAACCAAGGAACCAGGAAGAAAATATCTACTCCGTTCCCCATGACAGTACCCAAGGCAAGATAATCACGATCCGAAATACAAACAAGCCCCAGTCCAATGGTAGTGGCAATGGCTCAGACAGTGATATAGACACAAACTCACTGGAGAGAGCACGAAAAGCATCCATAATTACCAAGCCAGTCATGTACCGTACCAAGTGTGCCAAACTTGGCAAATTCTCCAGCTATCGAAGCAGCTTGAGTGTAGGAAGTGACGATGAACTGGGGCCAATGCGAACGAAAGAGCAAGAGATTGGAACTCCAGGACCGAAAGGCGACAACACTTCAAATTCCTTTGAGGGAGATGGAGAGGACCCACGTAGGAGAAACATACTGCGCAGCTTGAGAAGGACTGCTAAGGTAATTTTGGGGAACTCTGATGCAGGGCTAAATTTGCAGGAGAGCAGCATGGGTAGGTGGTGGACTTAAAGTATTAATCACTTTCTTTGACATTCTCTTCTCTCTACAGAAAACGAAAACCAAGGTTCGTCCTCCCATCTCCAAGACTATGTGGGAGAGTAACTACTTTGGAATTCCACTATCTAGTGTTGTGACTCCTGAAAGGCCTATCCCCATATTCATTGAGAAGTGTGTGGAGTACATAGAAGCCACGGGTGAGGGTGTGTTTGTGTGTTTACTACTATTTTGAAGCTGTGATTTTGCACGCTGTTCTGTAAATACCATTTATCATTTCTAAAGTGCCAGCACATTCTACATCTCTGTATCAAGGGGTCATCATCTTGTCCCCCTCTATCCATTTACTGTCACTGTTTTTATGGCTTTTTTCATGTTTTATCCATTTTTATTTATGTGTAACCTGCTCCTGTCGAATTGTCTCTCGTATTGCCCATGGCATACGTCTCATCTTCCCTCCCGCCTATCTTTCTGCATTACATTTTCCGACTCCCAGTATATTTTCATATCTTGCCACCCCACAGTCTTTCAATATAAAATGTAATTTCTGTTTGTGTTTTGTGAAATGAAAAGTCCCTTACTTTAACCCAGTTCTTTTTGTTGGCTCATGGCAAAACAATAGTTTTAGAATAAAAGAGGTACTTGCGCTGGGTTATGCACAAAACTATGAATATCAGCAAATTAAATCCAAAATGCAGTACACCTCAGTCGAAAATGTTTTCCAAATTAGCTATTCTAGCCTGCGTTTTGTCATTTAAAGTTATTGCGCTACAGTTTGGAGTTTACTAAATAACTGGGGACTATGCTCTCTGGTGACAGCAGTCTGCTTATTCACTACCAGCTTATCTGTGTCATTTTTCCAATATTCTTCTTGCAAGCATGATAAATGCATGCTGGTCTGTAGCAATGTCACAGAGAGCAGGTGGAAAGGCTGCAGGTAGGTTATCTTGCTCTACCTGTCACTCAGTCCTTTTCTCTTAGACACTCTACTGCTGCAGATTGAAAGGTGGGAGAGGGACCAAAAACTTTAAAGATAGTTACATTAAACACTATACATTTATTTTTTTAGCGTTTTTGGTAGCACAATGTATAGAGTTAAAATTAACACTACACTCAACCAGGGTTAACTCCTCCTCTAGTGGCTGTCATACTGACGGCCCCTAGAGGCGCTTCCCCAGCATAGACTAAGTAAGACTCTATCTCCATGAGGAGCATTGGAGGAGAGGTGAGCAGCACTGAGGGAGAATAACACTATAATGTTAGGAATACAGGCTTGTGATACTAATATTAGTGTTCCTTTAATTTAAGCCCAAGTTGTGACTGTATTATGACCGTTACACTTTAAAGCTAAACTCTTGCAAAAGTTGGTGTGCATGACTATATCTTTAATTCTCCCCCCGAATATTTAATATTTTATCACTAATCTCTGTCGGTTCTGTTGCTTATTTTTATTATATTTTGTGGGTTCACGCACTTTTAATATTTTGTAGGGATACACTGTTTGTGTGTCCCACTACTTTAAAGACCCCCCAGATTTGTGTTTTGTTGCTACCCCTGATTACAGCAATACCCTCCATGAAGACATTTTCCTGATATTTCAGAATTTAAGGATCCAATTACAGACATTCCAATTTATAGTTTTGAAATTTGACTGATTAGATTTCTCCTGGGTGAAGAATTTAGCCTGTGTCCTGCTTGTTTGTATTGTCAGTCGGCTTTGGGGGGGGTCTCGTGCCTTGTGTAGCATCAGAAAGATGGCTGCTTTGAGTTTGGGGTTATTCTCGTTAATATTTTATATTGTTTGTTTTGTAACTTTGCTGTTTCTCCTTCCCAGGGATGAGCACTGAAGGTATTTATCGTGTTAGTGGGAACAAATCCGAAATGGATTCTTTGCAAAGGCAGTTTGATCAAGGTAAGGAATAAACAGGGGATTATGTAAAATATTATATAGAAGAACTTTTTGCAGCAGTTTAGGGTTACGTGGAAATGTTTTATGTGTAATTTTATGAAAACATGCTCTACTTACAAAGGCAAACTACTGGAATGTGGTCATTAAATTGCTTCCGTTTTAATGTATTTCATATATGGCCTCGTTGCCTTCCTTTATTGTAAATACGAGTTTCAATGATGTTGCCAAACCAGAATGCAAGTTTTTTTTTTTTGGTTTTTTTTTTGATGAATTTTTTTTTATGCCTTTTCTTTAGGGAATGAGTATACAAAGCAATGTAAATAGGAATTTAGCTCATAAAGATACAATTTGCTCTAGCTCTGGTATGCAACCTGCAGGAAAACACATTTCCTTTCCCTCTGCATTACCACCAAGTGTCTATATAAATGGTACACCTTCCTCTCCCAAACTCAGCTGCACAATTTGTAGGGCAACCTCGTTGCTTCATTCGTGTTATGATCATTTTAAATGGGATAGAAACTGTAATGAGGGAATTGAACACATGCTTTTTCCATGAATAATCCATTCAAATAATTGGGGAAGTTGGCATTTGGGGCCGCTTCCCTTTGTTTAGAGGGATTATTGTTAATGCCATATAATGTTTGTCTTGCAGATCATGACCTGGACTTGGCAGAGAAAGATTTCACAGTGAACACTGTGGCTGGAGCCATGAAGAGTTTCTTCTCTGAGCTGCCAGACCCTCTAGTGCCATACAATATGCAGGCTGAGCTGGTGGAAGCATACAGTAAGGATATCGGGTTATTCTTTTTATTACATTATAGACTAATACACGGAAAGCTGGAGGAAACACTGCTAAATTAACATTGCCTGAATTAGAACAAAGAGAGCTTCCAATAGCAGAACAATAAACCGAAATCGTCCTCTCCTATTGGCTGTTCACACTGCTTAATGTATTGCATATCTAGCTCGGCCACCTTCCTTCCTGACATGTCTGAGACATTTTTTTCCCCCCCATTACTTTGCATTTAATGCAAACACTGGTATTTTATAAAGTATCATTTTTAAGAGTTTTGGCATAGTCTGTATGGAATTCCTTTGTTTGGCGAATGTGTAAATATAATTTTGCCTCTTTATAAACCGCTGGTAAGACCACACCTTGAATATGCTGTGCAATTTTGGGCGCATGTTCTAAAGAAGGATATCATGGCACTGGAGAGGGTCCAGAGACGAGCTACAAAATTGATAAAAGGAATGGAGCATTTTAGTTATGAAGAAAGGTTAAAAAAATTAAATCTGTTTAGTTTGGAAAAACGGCGCCTGAGAGGGGATATGATAACTTTATACAAATATATTTGGGGCCAGTACAAACCTTTATCTGGAAATCTATTCATAAACAGGGTTATACATAGGACACGAGGTCACACATTTAGGCTGGAAGAAAGGAGATTTCATCTAAGGCAAAGAAAAGGTTTTTTTACAGTAAGAACAATAAGGATATTGAATTCTCTGCTTGAAGAGGTGGTTTTGTCAGTCAATACAGATGTTTAAACTGAAATTGGATAAATACTTACAAAAACATAACGTACAGGGATAATATTCTAATTACTGGGGTAATAGCTGCTTGATCCAAGGAGACATCTGACTGCTATTTTAGGGTCAAGAAGGAATTTTGTTCCTTGTTTGTGGCCAAATTGGAAGCGCTTCAGACCAGGTTTTTTGCCTTCGTTTGGATCAACAGCAACAACATTTGTGAGGAAGGCTGAACTTGATGGACGCAAGTCTCTTTTCAGCTATGTAACTATGTATGATACACAGCATTGTATTGATAATTGTGTATTTGTATTCACAGAGATTAATGATCAAGAGCAGAAACTTCAGGCCATGAAAGATCTACTCAAGAAATTCCCCAAGGAAAATCATGAGATCTTCAAATATGTAATTAGTCACCTGAACCGGTATGTGATTGCTTTCTTTAAGTTTGTCATATTCTTTCTTTATACATACATGCATTCCACTGAAACATGTTTTTTTTTTTTTTTTTTCTCCTTTAGGGTGAGCCAACATCATCATATAAATCTCATGACTAGCGAGAATCTTTCCATTTGTTTTTGGCCAACGTTGATGCGCCCAGATTTCACCACCATGGATGCTCTGACAGCGACTCGCACCTACCAGACAATCATCGAGCTCTTCATCCACCAGTGCCCTTTCTTCTTTTACCAGCGCCCTCCCATGGACCTACCTACTCCAAGCTCCCCTTCTACTCCTCCTCTTTCTCAGCCTTCTCCTCCTCAGTCTCCTCCTCTAACCCCCGTGTCCCCTTCGCAGACCCTGCTACCCACCGAGCAGAACATCCTGTGACCGTCCCCTCCCATCAGCTTCTAGTCACCTGGAGGCAGTATCTGCCCCCTCTCTGCCACTCGCTGACCTCTTGAAGCGGGCCAGTGGCATTACATATGGGACCACTAAAGCCATGGAGAGACTGAGAGTCTGAGCCAGGAATGTACCCTATGATGGAGAGAGGCTGCATCACTACACCTGTTAAAAATTTAAAAAAAACAAAAAAAAAGGTTCTCTGGTACATTAATAAGAGGGGTTTCCCTGGTACACTGTACAAGAATAAGTAGGGGAGTTCTCCCGGTACACTAATTGTGTGAGTTGTGATGCCTGGTACACTTACTGCAAGAGAGATCGTTTGACCGTTTACAGAATTGGACCCTATTTCTGTGCTTGGCAGAAGCAGGGTCCCTTATACGCTAAATGGATCTAGAAGTCCTCTATGTCTGGATTCCAGGAGAAGTGGTTAAGAATCTAAATTACCAGAGGATTACACGTGGTATGGCAGAGTGGATTACAAGTGAGAGCTGCACTTAGTCTGGATCAACGCATGCAGCAACTGTGAATTACAGTTTATCTGGATTAAATCTGGATTGATTTTAAGAGCTGAGAGATCTCTCCATATTGTGGTTTCGGTGAGGGCATTTCCTCTTTGACGGTTGAGGGGGAAAGTGCTGCTCCTCGCACCAGACACTAGAACACTAAATAATACAAGGACCCAAATACCACACTACATATCTTAGCACTTACAGACGGACGGACGTAGCCCGTGCGGGATACTGCGGTTAATGGGGCTGCATGCCTTCTGAATTGTATGCTTTGTACATTACAACACGGAGAATACTAATGTGTGACACTGGCTGGAGTGCACACGCATGTTACATGTGTAGGAGAGGTTTGAACATTGGTTTAATTCCTTTGCTGCTCCAGCTGCCCTTTTTTTTATTTTTTGTTTTTAAACTAGAGGCACCTTGGGATTTGAGTGAACTGCCAATTAGTGTTGATCTGTCATCTGTGGTAACTTATCTCCTGAGGTGCCTTACACTCACGCTTCCAAGTGAGCCATTCCCATGAACTGGTTGTATTTTATGTCCAGAGCAAGGCTGAATCCTCCCATGCATGAAGGGTAAATGCACAGTCTTCCCCTCCCCAAACCTGTACTGATACCTTCCAATGAGACTGACTTCCATTAATATTCACCTTTCACTGCTAACTGACACTTCCCTTCAACACTCACCCATCACATTTAGATTAATCTGACCTATTGATCCAATGCTATTTTTAACTATTGATGAACCCTTTGACAGTCAGTATTCCCCTGAATCTGCCATTAAGGCACCCCTTCTTAGTATCTAGAAGACACGATCTACACCAAATTCTAATCAATAAAATGTGACTTTCCCACTTCGGGAAACTGATGTACCTGGGACATAGACTGTGCGATTCTACGTTCGTGGATGAGGATTTGTATGTTAGAACTGAGAGATCTTTTGTAAGTGATTGTCTAGAATGTAAACAATGTCAGGATTAACAGATTAACGGTTTTGAGGGTCAATCTCGCTGCGTATGGGGCTTTGTGTTTTGTGATGGAGTCAGAGCAAGCATGTGGGGAACCGGAAATCCTGGACTGGAGTAACTTCACAATCATATTGAACATAGTGTGCAGCAGGACCAATTCCACACGCATTCCTCCACGTGGCAGGCTTTGTTTGTGACTTGGAGTGACCAGGGATTCCCTAATTTACCCTGGTTATTTCCTGATCTGTTTGTTGCTGTTCATTGGTTGTGATCGAGGGTTTGGGTCATTTCGTGCATGAGAATGTGATCCTCCCGCAGACGCCCTAAATCATGTATCTGCTGCGAGTCTGCTCATTGTAATTGGAACAAACTCCGAGGGCCTTAATGTGACTTGTATCATAGCTAATAAATCTTGTTACAAACTCCCAGTGCACTCCTGTTTTCTGAAAGCCTTATAAGGCAGTATGTTTTACAGCATTTTTCTAATTCTGTTTCTTTTGTCTCACAATGTGATTGGGAGATTTACACAATGTAACACACTGACAATATTTTAGTATCATGGCTGCAGAGTGTGCGTGTCTGCAAATTGTTACATTGTATTTATTATCTTAACAGCACTTCCAATTTTCCCCTTATCTACTCATTCTGAATATTACACTTTAAAATTGTAACCATTATACGTTGTTTCAGTTTTAAGAATGTGACTGACAGCTCTTACAGTGGGTCACACAATACTGCTCTTGCAAACACTCACTGATACAGAGCTACACTTGGGGATAAAACACAAGAGATTTTTAAACATTTACTTTGGAGGTTGAGCAATGTATATGTACACATTTTTTAAAAATGATTTATGCAAGTATTTATAACTTAAAATCTGCATATATCCTGCGCTCTATGACTTTGCCTCTCCATACCAATGTACGTTTTATCTGCTTGCCCCCATTACACTGTGATGACACTGCCCCCCCATTACAAACTACATTAATCCCCTGTACCTTCACATGTACACCTCACTGTGTACCCCAGCCCTCAACACTTGCTTTGCTGACTCACTACATTACTCCCCAATCCCTCTATTCTGTCTCCCCAGTACCTGTATGCCCCATCTCTCTGCTTCATTACATTGTCTCCCTCATTCCTCTGCTGCCTCGGTACACTCCCTACTTGTTCTGTTTGCTGGTTCCCCTCATCGGTCCCTTAAGGGCTGGCTGCACTCCCTCTCGAGTCACTCTGTGTTCTACCTCCAACTCGCCATCATGCAAAACCTAAATGCATGTATGCAGCTCGTTCTTTTTTTAATATTAATGCCAACTGCTTTCACATACGATAGAAACTAGTCCTGCGCTCAAACTCCCATTACTCCTGGGCAGTAGCAATGACTATAGTACACATCAGCCAAAATACATATAGCAAAAACCAAAGAAAAAGAGTTACCTGCGCTCTTTCCACATCCCTATGTATTTTTAAACAAATGGTGGTTTTTAGTTACCTCCAATGGCCATGAGAGAGTATGCCCACCTGCCACGTAAAGGCAGACCTCTTAGGTGGGTCCTAACGCTAACCATTTGCTTTGCTTCCTTGAGGTTCTGGCAAAAATATCTGAGACAGAAAGGGGTATTTTTTTATCTACATCCCTACATGCTTATTAACCCTTAATAGGGAACACATGGGATGGGCAGCAGCATTGTAACCTCACTGTGTGATACAAAAGTAAATACAAAGAAACTAGTACTGCGCTCAAACTCCCATTACTCCTGGGCTCTCATATTTCTTATTCATAGTTTAAACATGCATTATTCTTGGATATGCAGCTTTTGTTAAATAATATTATAGACGTAGATCGCTTTTCTTTAATACTTGTATAAGTAATAAGTATTCCGTAAAGAGATCCTTGTTGTTCGCACTATCATTCATGATCCTTGTATTCTATGGCTAAGCTGTTCATTTGCAAACACCTCTTGCTGTAAGTTTAACTATACCTGCAGTTTGCGCTCCTACACTTGATTCACTTTTTTCCCCTTAGGGTATTTGCTGGTAAGTAAAGGTATGGGCACCGTTCTAAATTTAGAGTGATTAACATGAACATTCAATGGCGATTGCTGCACACTGTGACCTTTACCATAGAATTGTTCTATAATCGTAATCCCTTGCATTTACAGAGAGTATAGAGTATCGCATATCAAGTGGTGAACACGTACATTCTTTCTACGCAGTGGATGTTTAGTGAGTCGTTATGTATTTTTTTAAAAAAAAATTTATTCTGCTCTAAAGTTATTACTATGGTATTATTTAGCCATTCAGACGCACTTTACAATTACGCAGTGGGGTTATACAACTGCCAGTAATTAAAGCATATTTTATAAATGTAACTAAATATAATTAGACAATGTTGATGTGAAGATGGTCCTGATCAAATGAGGTAAGTTGGGAAATGTAACTTTATTATTTTTTTTTTTTTTTTAAGAAAGACAGCAGTGATATTTCTAAAAAAGTTATTTTTTATTTTTTTGTGAAGCTAATTTGCCTGCACCCAAAACCCACCATTAAGTTGCTGCCAACTGAATAATTAGGTATAACTTCAGCCTTCGACAGCTATGAGCTAAGGTGACCGCTTGCTGTGCAAAGTTGGACCGAACTATACAGATAAAGCAGACATAAAAAATGTTTGCATTACTACGTTGCGGCAAGATAGACGTATTGTTTGGGGCCAGGACATACATGATTTTTCATTTAAAAAAAAAAAGAAATTTGTAGGATTGCATAAGTACTGCATGGTCAGTAACTGGAAGTTTCTAAACTAATGGCTGCCCTAGATCTTCTTTTAACCAACACTTTTCAGAGCAATCAGAATAGGCAAAATATATAACTTTTTATGTAGACATTCTAAATGGTTTATGTACGGTTTTCTTTATTTAACATCACTATATACTTAAAGGGTTACTCTAGAGTTTGAAGTGGTTATGGTGCCCTCAGTCTGTATGTGCAGCATTTCACTATAACACTCTGCATTTACGGTTTTTATCCCCTCTTCAGTACACCTCCAGAGGTGTCATTGGGATGCCAGTTAAAAAAGAAAACGCTGTTTTTGCTCACTGTGTTTTGGTTGGCGTAACTCTTGAATAGGGCACTTTAAGCAATATTGCTGTAGGAGTTATGCTGATTAGATTCCCCTTGCGCCATCCCTCAATTTAATATTCAAACTGATGTGATTGAAATAAAGGTCTATCCTGCAACAACCTCCTCTGAATTAACACTTCTGCATTGTCAATCATCATTTAATCTGGGCAAGTTGTAATGATTAAGGTAACATGTTTCTTAGACTTTCACCAGTGTAAGAAGTGTTAACACCCACAGGATTATTTACTAAAAGGAGAATTCAAAGCAAATTACAAATACGAAGCCAGAATAGTTGAACTGAAAGCACAGCTGAATAAGAGAATTTATCCGGTTCTGCTATTTTCACCTTAAATTTGAAATCCTCTTTGTCCATCTCACTCAGGCAATAATGGGCTATTTGTTAGTGTAAGCCAGGCTTCCACAAACTCCGGCCCTCCAGATGTTGCTGAACTGCAACTCCCATGATTCCCAGCCTATATTTCATTCATAGAATCATGGGAGTTGTAGTTCAGCAACATCTGGAGGGCCAGAGTTTGGGGAAGCCTGGTGTAAGCTTTTCTGGATTCTTGGGCTACTGAATTAATGTCACAGTGAGAACTCTATAACTATTCTAATTAACTAGCGATATTCGACTGAAATATTGAAACGTTGATAAAGAAGCATCTTATTCTGGATAAAGAAGATGGAATTTTTAAGAAAAACAGCTGATAAATAAATTTAGTCAACGGACAGATGGGTTCTGCTCAAACAAGTTTGCATGTAAATGAATGGGGTAAAGTGCAATGTGTTTTAAAGGGAAGACAGTGTTTTGTGGGCATGCTGTGTCTAGCTATACTTGACTCAGATGGCCACGACACATGTATGTAGCTGTAGGGTAGGTGGATGTTAAAGAATTAAGAGATGACTGCGGGAGGATAAGCTATGTGAGGTGACACAGGGTCAGAGTGTTGTAGGGTGAAGTTTTCATGGTAAGATGATATGCATTCTTTAAAGGACTAAAAAGGAGAGCAAAGTCTGAAAGAGTGAGGTAGGGCATTCCTTGTGTATGTGGCAGAGAGTTGTAAATGGGTGTGACAAGAAGAGTGCAAAGGATGTTCTCAGCGAAGTGGGATTTAAATGGATTGTACCTTTTATTTAGAGCCTATTCTAGTCCTTTGCTCAGCACTCCATGATCTAGAAAAAAACACCCCAAAACAGTTCCATTTAAAATAACTTATGAAAGGGAAAAATCTAAGCACCATAATCACTACAGAGACTACTGGTTATGGTGCCAAAATTATTCTGGCATCAAGTGTCAAACCATTTGTCACTGGTTTAACACCTATTTAGTCCTTGGGGCACTCAGAAATCACAATTTCACTTCAGCAATATCAATATTGTCCAACTTAATTCATTGGCAAATGAAACTGACATGCTTTTGCAGATGTAGGAACTGTGGCCGCTCTGGGAAAACAGAACCACCCCCCAATCAAAATGGAATGCTGAAAACAATTCCACACCAGAATGAACATGTGCAGTGCATATGGTACCCCTATGTGCTGCTGTAACTATGGTTACGCCCTCACCAGCAACTCTTATTCTGACTTGGAGAATAGGGATAGAGGGATTAATGTCACTAGGTTTAGAGGCTTGTACACTGGCAAAAAGGCAGTATGTCCTTCCCAGCATGTGGAACTCCAACACTGCTGGCATGGCACTGTTTTAATAATGACAAACATTTTAAGGACTGGATTTAACCTATTACAGCCCTAAAGTCACTCAGAGATATTCACTAGCAGGGGCGGGCACTCCTCTGCACTTGAGATGTCGAGGACTTCATCACACAAAATGCTCTGTATCATGCTAGCAAAGCATCAGGGGAGATGTAGTCCGCAATATCTGGAATGCCAAAAGTTGCCTAGCCCTGCTCCACAGTGAGAATTGTCTGGAATTCAAAATGATTTTGAGATGTAATGCTATTGTAGCTAAATAGAAAAATTCTCCATGACAACAATACTGCCTTCTTGTCTACTTTAACATTAACTTTGAATTCTCACTTTAGTAAATAATCCTGATTATGTTCGTTGCTCTCTTTTATTGTGGCTAGAGGCCTAAGCCAGGTTAAAAATGACTGCATTAAAATTCAGAAGTCATACATTAAATAAGTGTAAGGAATTACTTGTCTAAACCATGGGATTATTTATTTTAACCTTTCAGCTGCGGCTGTACTATATTATTATTATTATTGCTATTGTTTATATAGCACCAGAATGTTCAGCAGCACTTCACAATTATGAATGGAGATATTTGACAACACATAATTTTACATTCGGAATATAACCGATGAGGCGAAGACGGCACTGCTCAAATAAATTTATAATCTATAAACATCTCTCATAATTCTCTGCTAGTCTCAGACCTTGAAGTGGATGTGTTAACCATAACATATGTTCACTTCCTGATAGCCATAGATGCTATCCAAACACTATTGTGTCTAAGTCACTAACGTGTCTATATAGTTATAGATCTACTTAAAGGGACATCCACCACTTGACTATTTTTTTTTTTTTTTTTAAAACCAGCAAGCACACACTTTCATTTAAACAAATATATAAACAAACAAAAAAAAAGCAAGAACAACTTTGAAAAGTACGTAATAAACGTTTATAAATTTACTATACACTTGGACAGATTGCATTGTTGGACATGCCTCTCAGCTAGGCGAGTTTCTTTAGCTTCATTACACCCTCCCCTTTCCCTCTTACCTACCCTTCTCAGTTTCAGACCAGTCTACGAATAAGAGAAACAGGACATCAACAGGAGAGAGAAACAGACACCGGATCGTGCTGTGCCAGAAGAGATCTTCCAACTCCACATGTGTAAATCTGACAGGCATGACCAATTGAGTTTTCGACTATTCCTAGGGATAGGACACTGATTGGTTAGATAGCTGTTATCCCCCACCCCCTCACCATTTAGGTGTAGAAAGCACAGAAATAAGAAGCAGGTAAATATTAAGAAAATCTTATTTTCCTGCTTTTTTTTTCAGCCTGCAGAAGGAGGCAACTATCTCATACAAAGCTAAAGCATTTGAAATAATTTATCGCAAAGTGATGTATATCCCTTTAACTGTAGTTCACTTCTAACATCCACACCATGGCTCTGTGTGTTTCCTGAATACATTGAGTTTTGATGTGTACTAGGAATCGTGACACGCCTCTGCATAACTTGATCTCACGGTGTTTAGTAATTACTGCTATATTGGTCGAGTCTTCGAAGATCAAAATTAGTAATAGCTAATTAGCTTTTTCCTATCCTTTTTGTAACACAGAATAAAGATGACATTTTATAATATTTAAAGTGATACCACGTTATGCTACTCTTGACAGGTACTCTTTAACCTGGTTTTCGATTTGGCCTTTCATACATCCCTAACCGTAAACTGTAATAGAATTGTGGGAATGTTAATCTAACAGATGTTTGCCTAAGGTTCTACATCTCTGATCAAAGCACTAACTGTTTTAGACCGTTAAATAATAGAGAAGGCATGTTATGTATGATTTATGGAGGATGATTGTTGTATATTTAAAAGGATCTCTCTTCTCAAAGTTCTAAGAAGAAGAAATAGTTCTTGCCGTATCCTGGGAATAGCTGTGTGGTTTACAATGAAACTTGTAAAAAGGTCTGCGCATTGTTTTAATGTTTGCACTTCTAAAGAAGCGAGAAGACAAACTCAAAGCAACATACTGTGCTGCCATCTAGTGGATATTTACTAAAATATACACACTGCCTTTTTTCCCCTTTCCTTTTGGATCAATTCCAAAATTATAGCTGTTTGATAAACTTGATTATCATCATTAATGCCCCTCAATCGGATCCTAAAGTGATATTTGCACACAGAAACCTGAATCAGGTAAATTTGATCTTGTCTCTCTGGCACGTGGATTTTGTAA